TATATATATATATATATATATATGCGTCTTTGGTAAGACGATAAACTTCATCCGACAGCGAGACCTCTGATCAGAAGGTTTTGATGAGCGTGGAACCACCTCTTAATTGCTGATGTTCCCAAGTCCACCCTGACCCGGGGTGGTAGCACCTGTTAGGGTCTCAGCTATGGACAAATAGTTAACCCCCAAACTGGCGTCAAAACACTATGAAAGTATAAAAATAGATTTTAATACATACCAGAAATACTTTGTACAAAAAAATTATTACCGGCGATACATTTTAGAAAATATGGTATTACCAACTATAGTTTATTTTGGAAAAAAATATTACCAGCAATAAAAAAAATTGTCGGCATTAAATAACCCATTGAGGTTGATATGCTGTAAGACAAACCAAACTAAACCAAACCAATATATATATATATATATATATATATATATATATATATATATATATATATATATTATCATTATTATTATTATTATTACATAGAAATAAAAATGACGTATAAACTTGCCTACCCCGTTTTTTGACAAAATGAAGACGTCAAAATCAATCGAGTGCCGAAATTTGACAGATGACGGAAAATGTGACACAGAATTCCAAAAGCAAACTGGAATAGTGAAATATGTCTTCCAAAAGCCAAACAAAATATTAAGAAACGGGAAAATTTTGTTGGGAAAAAAGCTAGAAGTGTTATGTCATGTAATACCATTCCTTCTATATAGCAGTAAATACTGAGTAATGTTTCTGACAGATGAAGAGACTTAAAGCAACAGTGTTTCGAAAGAAGGATGCTGAGAATACCATAGACTGAACATGTGAGTAACGAAGAAGTTTTAGAGAAATTTTAAACATAAAGAACACCTGTGCATAAGAGACGGGCACAAAATGAGGACAGATAGCTTGGAAAATCTGACACTCACGAAACATATCAAAGGTAAGAAGGATAGACTAAAACAGATCTATATATATCTAACCAGATTGTGTAAATTGATGACAGAACAGGATTGAGGAGGGGATAAATTAAAAAAGATTAAAAATTTACTAAGATCTACAAAGGGCAGAAAATTGTGGAGAACCACATTGCGAATGTCCCAAAGAGAGATGGCACATAGAACTAGAAGAATAAGCATGTATAAATCGTTAACGTGCATTCTATGTCTTTTCTGCTACTACACAGCTTCATACCCAGCAAGAAACGATGAACGGTATGTAGTGACGGATTCGTTTCTATAACCTGACAAAAGTTATCCCGTCCTGGGTAAGACGATAAGCTACATCTAACAGTAAGGCTTCTGATCAGGAGTTTTTTGAGAAGCGTGGTTGGTTTGGTTACTTTTGTTTTACGGCATATCAACCTCAATGGGTTCTTTAATGCCGACAACATTTTTATTGGTGGTAATATTTTTTCTCAAAAATTTATTGCTGGTAATAATTTTTTACAAAAAGTATTTCTGGTATTGAAACGTATTTTTACACTTTCATAGTCTTTTGACCCCAGTTTGGGGGTTAACTATTTACCCATAGCTGAGACTCTAACAGGTGCTACCACTCCGGGTCAGGGTGGACCCGGGAACATCAGCAATTAAGAGGTGGTTCCACGCTCCTTAAGACCTCTTGATCAAAGGCCTTGCTGTTAGACGCAGTTTATCGTCTTACCCAGGACGCGGATGTAGTTTATTGCCTTACCCAGGACGCGGGTGTAGTTTATCGTCATACCGAGGACGTTTGAGGAGAGTGAAACCACATCTTAATTGTTGGTGTTCCCAGGTCCATCCTAATCCGGGTTAGTAGCACCTGTTAGGGTCTCCCAGATGTGGTCAAATAGTTAACCCCCAATCTGGGGTCAAAACACTTATTCATTTATCTCAAATTCTCGCATTTTATAAATGTTGTCCTCTTTGTCAATGGCTGGTAACGTTTCTTTTCCCGGACTTCAGTACCCCAAAACACCAAGTTGCTATTATTTTATCATCTCTGATCAAACCACGAGTTTTCTCCAATCACGCTGGACGGATCAGTAATGGATGATTTAAACTTCTAGGACACATAATGAAGAAAGAGGGCTTGGAGAATTTGGCACTCACAGGACATATTGAAGACGTGGGGGCGGGGGGGATCAGAGGGAAACAGTGGTTAACTCGCCTAACAACTTTGGACTGAGTCGGTAACATTAAGGTGACAAATATTATTTAGAGCTACAGATAATAGGAAAGTTTGGAGGGCCATGATCATCCACGTCCGAAAGGCATACGGGATATATAAGAAGAAAACTTATAACCCGAATATAAAACAGGCTGGACTAGAACAACCCCAGATACACACTGGGCTGTCATACCCCCACTTTTATTTGATACACAAGTGTATCATTATTATTATTATTAGTAGTAGTAGTAGTAGTAGTAGTAGTCATCAGATGCCATCAGATATGTTGACACTTAACAAATTTGCTTGTCTAATATTTATATATTAGCGAGAAGTTATTAAAAATCTTAACAGCAGAAAGATATTACAGGATGGTATATATATATATATATATATATATATATATATATATATATATATATATATATATGTATGTATGTATGTATGTGTGCGCGTGTGTGTATGCGCGTAGGGATGTGTGTGTGTTTTTAATAATTTCAATATCAGATATAAATATGAAAGGGCAACTAAAAGCAATATAGACAAGTTGCAGCCTAGTTGGTTAGAGTAATGTTAATATTCAATATATCTGTCATTGTGAATACAAAGAGGTTAATATGTTCACTGAACACATTCAGCGATTTCTCGAGACTTAGTCGACTGATCAGATCTCATATTCTGGCCTGAAGATCTTTTAGAAAAGCTTTATTAATTAAAGTTGAAACTTGTCACACTTTCTAAATGTTGCTTTGTATCAATATCTTCCATATTCAGCCATTCAACTCGATATTGCGAATTCTGTTCGAAGCTTCAGTTTTCGACTCTTTCTGGCAAAATCAATGACAGACTTTTAATTGAGCTTAAATTTTTAAGCTGTTGCGTTATTTGCTAATTATTCATGAAAACAATCTGTTTCATTCTGCTCATTAAACTTTTTAGGCAAATTCATAAATACTTTTAACTTTCAACAGTAGAGGTTTACCCATACTGACAAAAATGATGGCATATTTTGTTAGGTCTTGGCTATTATTAAAGCTTTTTAACAATAAGAGATATAGTTAGCACCAAACGAGATAGCAAAACAACACTACAGAGGCGTGGATATATAAGCTAGAATGACCAATAATATACATCGGCGAAACACCAAGAAATCTAAAAAAAATAGACTATATGAGCATCACAGAGATATGATGCATAGCAATACATTAAACGCACTGGTGGCTCACTGTAATACATCTGACCACAATTTCGGCTTAATAAATGTCAGACAGATCATGACAGAAATGGATTCATTAAGAACAAAATGTATTGAGTGTGCGCTAATCTCACAATTCTCAATAATAAACAGAAGATTATAGCTTCGAAAAGAATAGGAAGATGAATTTTTATTATTTTGAAAATGATTTTAGACTCATAATAAAGCTCAGTTCAAATATCCCTTGCATAATATCCCGAATCATCGCAAAAGCGATGCGGTATACGTTCTAGCGGTTTTTGTTTCAGTCTGCTGATTTCAAATCCAATAGACGCCAACGGCTCTCATATATACAGGGTGTATCAAAAATACTTTTACAAACTTTAACGCGCGGGTTCCTCGCACTAAACCAAGGACAAAAGTCCATATAAACATATGTCCACAAATCCTTCGTTTCTGAGTTATTAAGTTTAAAGAAAAGTTACGGTAAGTGGCGCTGTGTTGCCATGTAGATGAGGTTACATTTGTCATTCGTGTACATTTGTGTCTAATCTGTTTTCAACGTTTAACGTGTGTGTAATGACAAAATTACGCAGGTGTAGGGTTTAAGAAAGCTTTATTCAACTGAGAATACAAGGTTCGCGTATAGTGTCCTTTTATAGTCCCAGTAAACAGAAATCGCAAAGAGGAGAGAAACAAAACAAGGCGAAACCAATCTTGATTATTCATAACAGTGTGTAATAGTGAGTTAACTGAGAAGTGTTCCGTTTAACAATGCCAATATATTCATATCGTGAGCAGGCAGATATGATTTTTACATACGGCCTCGCGATTAGTAATAGACGCCTGGCTGCACGGTTGTATCAGATGACGTTTCCAGGCCGGAGGTAGCCGAATTATACAACTTTTGCTGCTGTTTATCGTCGCGTTGCGGAGACAGGATCAGACTCGACGACGCTTAACTTCGGTAATCGTATAGGAACTTGTGATAGTTAGCAAGGAAAAGTGATAAAATATTCCTCGTTTCATACGTGAAATGGTGTGTTGAATCCAACTTAATTATTACGATATTCTTTATGCAGATGTTACCTTTTCCGATGTTCTACACTGAGTTGGAATCAAGAGGGTTTTTTAAAAAATTGCAACCATTCGAGCAGCTTCTTCACGCGAAACATTGCTCTGTGGAATCGACTTCCAACAGGATGTTTCCCTGATCACTACAATCTTAGCCTGTTCATGTCTAGGGTTAACCGTTATCTATTCGCACAAATTGCCTCCTAATGTAACCCTCTACCTCAAGTAGCTCCCTGATCTGGTAAATGGTGAGCCTTACTGTAAATAAAAAAAAATAAATATCATAATTCTGGGGTGAACTCTTTAATAGTTAAACGCACAGTTGGCTCACAGTAATATATCTAACCACAATTTCGTCGTAATAAATGCCAGTCAGATCAGAACAGAAAATGCATGGAGAGTTCGTTAATCTCACATTTCTCGACATTAAACTTAGGACAATATCCCTTACACTTTATATTCGCTAGAATCTAGCATTAATAGCAGTTTAGCTATGCCATCAAATGACGGCATATTTTGTTCAATTCTTATTATCTGTCTTTTTTTTTAAATATATTTTTGGATACATTTTCTGTCTCTCAGTTCTGCTGTCGTCTTTCGGTCTCTCTTTTGAACTCTGTCAATCACAGTTACTCTCACTCTCTCTTTCTTGTACGTATCTCTTTTGATCTCTCTCTTTCTCTGGCTATCTATCTATTTCCATTGCATTGTTTCTTCGTCTTAGTTTCTCCGTTTCTTTTTCTAGGCCTCTCGCTATTCTCTCTCTCTCTCTCTCTCTCTCTCTCTCTCTCTATCTATCTATCTATCTCTCTCTCTCTCTCTCCCTGGTTATCTATTGCAATTGCATTGTTTCTTCGTCTTAGTTTCTTCTTTTCTTTTTCGAGGCCTCTCACTATTCTATCGCTATTTCTCTTTCTCCCTCTTTCTATGGCTATCTATCTATTGCAATTGCATTGTTTCTTCGTCTCTCTCTCTCTCTCTCACACACACACATTCTCTCTTTGTATTTGTATGTAAGTTGATTGATTTTCTCTCTGTTACAGTTGCTTTTTCTCTCTCTCTTTCTCTTTCACTCTCTCTCTCTCTCTCTCACGCATATGCTCCCTTTTTCTATTTCTATCTATGTATTTCAAATGCTTTATCTCAGTCTCTCTCACACACAAACTCTCACGCTCTCTATCTCTCTCTCTCTCTCTCTCTCTCTCTCTCTTTGTATGTATCACGATTTCTCTCTTTCAAATTGCTTTCTTTCAATCGCTCATTGTCTCCTTTTCTATCTCTCTATGAATCTCAATTACTCATTCTCTCTATTAGAGTCTTTATCTCCCTATCTCTCTCTCTCTTTATAATTCTCTTTCACTCTAATTATCGCAAGTGCTTTCTCCCGCTATCTCGCCTGTCCTTTTTCTCTTTACCTCAACTGCTATTTTCTCTCCTTTTCTCAATTAGAATCTCTCCCCACCCTCTCTCTCTCTCTCTCTCACTTTATTTCTCTCTTACACTAATTATCACAACTGCTTTCCCCCTCTATCTCGCTTGTCATTTGTTTCTTTATCTATATGGCTATTTTTCTCTGTTATAGTATCACACTCTCTCTCCCTCTCCTCTCTCTCTCCCTCTCCTCTCTCTCTCCCTCTCCTCTCTCTCTCCCTCTCTTTCTCATGTGCACTTATAGATATTCACGACAACTCCCACCCTCTCTTCTCGCCCCCTCTCCCTGTCTCTCTCCCTCTCTTTCTCATGTGCACTTATACACATTCATGCCAACTCCCACCCTCTCTTCTCGCTCGCTCTCTCTCTCTCTATCTCTCTCTCTCATGTGCACTTATAGACATTCATGCCAACTCCCACCTTCTCTTCTCTCTCTCTCTGTCTCTCTGTCTCTTTCTCTCTCTCTCTCTCTCTCTCTCTCATGTGCACTTATAGACATTCATGCCAACTTCAGCCTCTCTTCTCGCCCCTCTCTTTCTCTGTCTCTTTCTCTCTCTCTTTCTCATGTGTACTTATAAACATTCATGCGAACACCCACCCTCTCTTCTCGCCCCGCTCTCTCTTTCTGTCTCTTTCTCTCTCTCTCTTTCTGTCTCTCTCTCTCTCTCTCATGTGCACTTATAGACATTCATGCCAACTCCCACTCTCTCTTCTTGCCCTTTCTCTCTCTCTTTTCTCTCTTTCTCTCTCTCTCTCTCTCTCTCTCTCTCTCTCTCTCTCCCATGTGCACTTATAGACATACATGCCTACCCCCTCCAGTTAATTCTTCATAAATCAATCAATTACCCATCCCTTAGATGTCTTCTGACATTAACAAATCTATTATTGGAATTATATCGAATAGAAAATAACATGATATTTTGTTTGTTTGATATTTTTTAATTTAATTCAAATGAATTAACTTTTGCAGTAATAAATTTAAAAGTTGTTATGCAGGTCTTAAGAAATGGGAGACCACATCATTTTCATATCTGAACATGCCTTCCATAATTAAATCCCAGTCGCTTGCGACGTCCCATGAGATCGATGCTCCTACCCAGCCATTCCTACCAGATGGGCAAACAAATATGTCTTTCTCAGTCAGTTACCGTATTTGACAGCATACAAGATGCACTTTAAGAAATGGTTTTATAAAATCCCCGCGAATTTGAATCCTCTCATGGGTTAATTTTATCCCCAATGCTCATTGCCATTGTTTATAATTTTACCCCTTGGATGGTCATTTTTTTCGAGACAATCTCATTTTATTAACTCAAATGACATTATTATTATTATCATTATATATATATATATATATATATATATATATATATATATATATATAAAGGTACTATAAATACTATAGCCTTAGATGGCAACTGGTCTAGGAGAAGGACAACTCTAAATTCAAAAACTGTGGAGGGTCGTTTGGGAGCCTTGTGGCACTTAGTGCACCAGGTCTCTGTATTCGTCCCTTCAAAAAGTGTGGATGGTCCTGCACGAAGCCTTCACCACTATAATCAATTCTCATGTGACGTTGTCGGGCTGTCGGTTTCCTGGAAACTGATCTACTTGGCCCTCATACGTCGAATTCGACGGGAGAGCCAACTATATATATATATATATATATATATATATGTCTATGTGCGTGTGGTGAAAATGTAGTTTTAAAGTACGTTACATTTATGAGTAAATGTACTCAATATCAGGCATAAATCATATGTAAATATGAAAGTTGACACTGAGGTCATCTCCGAGCGACGACGGTCTAATTCATGCTTAAACGCAAACTTCAGAAAAGAATACTGGTATTTACGTAGAGTTTTACACACAACCATATATATATATATATATATATATATATATATATATATATATATATGATGCATGGATAAGCCATCGTCTAATTTTTGAGACAAAAAGGAAAGGGTACTGAAGTGTTAGGTAATGTCAGACCTCCTATGTGGCAGTGAACGTTCTCCGCGAGGATGATGACGAGACTTGAAGCAACAGAAATGTAGTTCTACAGTAGGATGCTGAGAATACCACGGACTGAAGATGTAAGCAATGATAAAGTTTTGAGGAAAAGGAAAACAAAAAAAGACACTTAAACTAAGCATCAGAAAGAGACAGCTGAAATTTCTACGGCACATAATGAGGAAAGAGGGTTTGGAGAATTTGGCACTCAGAGGACATATTGAAGGCAATAGGGACGGTGGAAAATAGAGAACGAGCTTGAGTAATTGGTTTACAGAACGAGATTTAGGTGATAGGCAGATTTTACTAAGAACTGAAAAGGACAGGAAACTGTGGAGAGCTTTGATCGCCCACGTCCTGAAGGTAGACGGTGCATAGAAGATCAACACACGAAACCATTTTTCTGTGTTATTAGCTTGAAATCGGAACCATGGCGTAATCAGCAAGCCATCTTTACTTTTTCCTTCCTGCGTTTACTTTTCCTGTTGTAAGTAGTTTAGCGGATTTCACAGTCGTTTAGAAGATTTAACCTATAAGCCACAATGCAATGTGTGAACAATCTATGGCTCTCAGTTGACGTCATTATATCCATAATTGTTTGTAGGTCGATCAACAGGGTCACTGTTCCTTTGCATAGCACAGATTAAATTGAACGCTCTGTTTAATCTCCACAATAGAATAATGGTTACCAGAATACACACACACAGACAAAAAAATAGATCCGGTGAACCGAGTTCGAATCCTGGCTGAAGCTGATTATATTCACTTATAACATTCGTCATTATATGCATAATTGTTTGTAGGTCAATCAACAGGGTCATTGTTCCTTTGCATAGCACAGATTAAATTGAACGCTCTGTTTAATCTCCACAATAGAATAATGGTTACCAGAATACACACACACACACAAAAATAGATCCGGTGAACCGAGTTCGAATCCTGGCTGAAGCTGATTATATTCACTTATAACATTCGTCATTATATGCATAATTGTTTGTAGGTCAATCAACAGGGTCATTGTTCCTTTGCATAGCACAGATTAAATTGAACGCTCTGTTTAATCTCCACAATAGAATAATGGTTACCAGAATACACACACAGAGACAAAAAAATAGATCCGGTGAACCGAGTTCGAATCCTGGCCGAAGCTGATTATATTTACTTATAACATTCGTCCATGTTTACATTGTCCCGGTGAACCGTTACTCACCTTGAGCTCCTTGATAAAATCAAAAAAAGAATCAGCAATATTATCAGTCCTGATCTGCGGGTCGGCTTCAGTCACTTTACCGCCACTGTAAGGTTGCCTCACTGAGCCTTTTCAACAAATACTTCCATGGTAATTTTTCAGATGACCTATTCGTTATGGCACCTAAACTTTTTTTTAAAATTTAAATGCAGTGCTAGACTGGCGTCAAGATCTCATCAATTTACAGTTGAGTTGGTTAGCATGTAACCGTAAGTTACATGCTAAATGTTTCTTTTCTCACACTTCTCGCTTGTGGAATTTCCTTCCGCTTTCATGTTTTCCAGCCAACTTTAATCTGCAAAAATTTAAATGCAATGTCAATCGCTATCTACTGTCCTCATGATTACTCTTTTCTCTTCCCGCTCATTATTAATGTTTCAAGGACACATGGCACAGTGGATAAAGGTGTTGTTTAGAACCAGTGACCGGACCCAAAGAGTGTGAGTTCAATACCCAGTTAAGGCAGTGGAGAACGTGGAGAGGGGAATTAACAGGACATAACTGATAAACTGACATCGATTAAAACATGTCATTGGAACTAGAACAGTCTATCCCAGTGAGCGAAATAAAGGGTTCAGTTCGACATTCCAACCACCTGAAGAAGGCCGGAGCGTACAACGGCCGAAACGTTGTAATAAATATAGCGACAAAGATGAGGACAATAGTCCAAATAATGTAAAGAGTGAACAACTTAACGGGTTTTTTTAATGGAAGGTAGAACATAGACAAAAATGGATGCTAAAGTGTAAAATAATATTTAAAGGAACAAAAGTTGTGCAGCGCATTGAAATTATTTATCTATCATCCCCACTAAGAATGTGACACAAAGCGATTTTTTTTTTTCGTATGGGCAGCCGATATGTTTACTTATGGGGTATGGATAAAAACTGTCCTGTCCCGCGACCCGTCATGCTGGTGTCGATAATACACCGATCCCTCGCGAATTCGCGGTTCTACTATCGCGGATTCACGACTTCGCATATTTTTAAAATACATAAATGGAAAATATATCGCGGAGTTTCTGGAAAATTCTAGAAAAATCGCGATATATGAACACGTAAAATTTTTCATTAAACCCATTAAAATATTAATAATAAATATTATTTCCTGGTCTAGGAACAACAAAACAAGTGTAAAATAGCAATAGAAAGGGCACCGCCGTCTGAAGAGACGTAAAATACAATTATCGGCTGCACAGTAGAAGTCATCATCAGCTTCATCATCATCATTTCTACTGTGCAGCAAATTCATCACCATCATCATTCAAATTCTACTTCAACTTCTATCGTATTGAATACAGTAACAATCTTCTTTTTTTTTAATCTAAAGTGTTATTGCTTAACAGTTGTCCTTGTTATTAATAGAGTACTGTAATGGGTGTGTTGTTAACAGTACAGGGAGGCGTTTTTAAAGTCCAAATACACGTTAAATAAATACTGTAAATATGGCTTCCCTACTTCGCGGAAATTCAGTTATCGCGGCCGGTCTCGGAACCAATCTACCGCGATAAACGAGGGATCACTGTACACCGATCCCACCTTTCTTAGTGCGATGACGAATAGTGTTGCTGCTGTGTTGGCATCCCCAAGACCAAGCGCCTTCTCCCATCTAAAATGCGAACAGATCCTACGCTTTGATCCTGGCCTGAAGACCGAGATGGTCCCCGTTCTGATAAGAAATAAAAAAGATAAGCAATCTATATGCGGTTTCAGACATCCGCTGGTAGATATCGTACAGAGACTACCGTATATCATGTACCACACATTATTTGATCTAAGGCTTACTTTTACGGAAATATCTTGAGGTATTTTAGTTATCAATAATATAACGATTTTATTTCTGACATTGAAAAATCTTTAGCTTAATTTATATCGACTGATTGATTGAGTGATTTTTCCCAATAAAATTCTGTTTCGATAATATCGTTGATCTGATCCTAAAATCGTCTGTATATGTGAGTATTTTCTCTTGTGAGTTTTCTTGTTTTGTATTTTAACGGCTTTTCATCGCAGTTCAAGAAACGAGACAAAATAATGACTATTATTAAGCGTTGATTTAATTCGCCGTGAAATTATTTCAATCTTTTTAATCTTCGTATTTTCGCCGAATTCTTAATTAATCTGATATTAAACGGAGGTCGGATAACTTTATTAATAATATTCCATTTTCAGTGGTATCAAATTAAAATTATTTAATGAATAAAACGCAAACAATCGATTGTTGTATCGGG